AAAAGTTACTAAAGGTGATAACGTCCCAAAAGGTGCTAAAAAGGTGAAATAAAATTCTCTTAAAATCCTAAAGGGGTATATCGTGTGCCCCCAAACTTTCAGGAGGTTCTCCGTTTTCGGGAGAAAAAGTTATTTAACTTCAAATCAATGCTTTAATTATAACGTGTGCTTACAAAAACTATTGTTAGAGAAACTAAATCATTATTGTAAATATATTATAATATATTATTTTAATATAATCATAAGTGGTTAAAATATAATATTTGTTTTACAATAAATTGATAAATACCATGCATTTTATCATTTATAATAGATTAGGGTTATTTCTAAAAAATAACCTTTATTTCTAATGAACAATCTTTATATGGATATTAGTGATTGAAATTGAAACTTAAAATCATCGTTGTTTTTAATCACAAATGGAAATTTAAGTATTTATTCACAGTAAATACAAAATAAATAGTATACCGAATTGAATAATCATTAATCGTATCTATAAATATTACATTGTTGTATTTATTAATTATTTCTATATAAAATTACAGACATCATGTGAGGCACTCGTCGGCCGTTTCAATGCCAGCCTACCTGTCCTTATCGTATATATCTGTGCCCTCGTATGCAATCTTATCATTAGATAGTCGCCGCTCATTGTCGGCCACATCGGTGTCCGTATTATGACGTTTATTATAAGCTATTTTTGCCATTTCTGTCAGTTTCCGAGCCATACCTGTGCCGGTCGTGCGAACCAAACCCGAAAACAGTCCGCTCTCGTCAGCCAACAAAACGTACGGCTCGTCAACCTCGACCGCACGGCCCGAGTCGAGCACCAGTACCCGATCCGAGTCCATAATAGTCTGCAACCGGTGAACTATAGTTAACATTGTGCACGTGGCAAACCTACTTTTGATTGTGTCCTGGATCAATTCGTCTGTCCTATTATTAATTAAACAACATATTAATTTCGTTATTCATTATAAATAAACTAGTTTTATATTGATTTGTTTAAAATTAAGATGCACCGTATATTTCTGTCATCTCTTATACACACGACTCAATTTTTAAAACTTAAACACAATACACACCCGGGGTCTACATTAGCGGTCGGCTCGTCCAACACTAGTACGCGATTGTGTCGGAGTAAAGCCCGGGCCAGACATAGCAACTGGCGCTGACCGACACTAAAATTGTCGCCCCCTTCAGAAACCCGGGCGTCCAGAGCGCCGGCCATTGACATCACCCGCTCCTTAAGACACACGGCGTCTAACGCTTTCCACAAACAGTTGTCCCCGTAATGACCGGACGGATCCATATTGAGCCGCACAGTGCCGGCGAACAGCACCGGGTCCAGCTTTTTATCTTTAAAATAAAACTAAGTTTATTAAAATCGTACGAGGGGTTATCAAATAGCAGCATGATTACTTCATCCCTCGATGGCTAAACACCCGTTATACAGGATCTTCAAAATAACATTTGGCAACGCTAATCACAGACCCAATAGTTGTGTTCAATAAGTAATTTGATTAATAATTTTTGATTATTGAATTTCAATGCAATAGTCATGTAATCATTTAATTGTTGAAATTTAGCTTTAAATATATATGACGTGGCGAACCATATCATGGTATCGACCCAGATGATTGAAAAACATATTAAGCATGTAATGATAAATACGAAGTTGTGAATAATCATTAATATAAAACTGTACAAGCTGGGGTTGTCGTAGAAATAATTGAGAAATAAGTACGCGTGAAAAACGCCACTAATTATGGTTAAAAAGAAAATGGCTGAAATGACCACATTGTTTTAAATTACGCCGAGTAAATAACAAAAGTGGCTAGCTTGTTTGATGAGAATTGTATACTTTAATAGTCTATATTTGAGTCGATAGAAAATTCGTTCGTGTTTCGATAGAAAATAGTTATATTCTATTATTTTAATAGAAATTAAGTTATTTATAATTAACTTATAATTTACAAATCATTTCTTGGTTATGTAATTGGACAATTACAATATTTATCGTCATGATCTTTATGTCATACAAACATTTTCCATAGACTTACTATCTAGAACAAATTACGATTTCCAGTTAGGTCTTTGTTTTAATGATACATGGTGGTCACTTGGTGAGTTTGTTTTCTGTTTGCTACTTATAGCGGGCGGGTTTCCAGCACGCTGTCTATTTCTTACCTTGCCAGTAGTTGTCCATCTTATTTGCCCAGGCATAATCCCACGCTGTACAATAATCCAGATAGATGCTACAATAATTACAATAATGGCACTGGTTGCCAGCATTTTGTCGGCCCAAGCGATACGATTGAACATGTTGGCCACGCCATGACCTAGCTCGTTGCCCAACACTCTGAACGCGGCCGACGATACCAAGTGGGTCAGCGCAACCATGGGGTTTACTTTGTAAATGGGATTCACCATGGTCGCTTTGAAGTACTGTTGACACTGTTTGTCCAGCGAGATGGTCCAACCGAATAGCCCTCGCATCATGTTGCTAAATGTGAGCGCCTGTTCATTAATCACTTTCACGCACTCTAATGGCGCCGATGACATCGTGTAGTTAGGGTGACCAACTTCCATTTAAGAAAAAGAGGACATTACAAAGAGTTTTAGAGGACAAAAGGGAAAACATACAATAAAAATTTATGACAAATAGAGGACACAAGTTTTAACACTAATTTTCATAGTAAATCATAAGGGTACATTATTCAAAATATAGCCAAATAGAGGACTGTCCTCTAAATAGAGGACAGTTGGTCACCCTACGTGTAGTGCTGTTCAGACATTGCCTCCTGATATAAGTACATCCATTGCCACACCCATGAGATCAGAAATGTGCCCATGCTCAATATGACGAGAGTTTTAATTGAATAAATTGCCACTCTATTGCAGCAATGTTAATATAATAAATTATTGCGGTAATTTATTTATAAAATTATTGAAATATTTAATACATTATATGCCGAGAAAAAACTCAAACATTATTGTAAATGTATTATTATATCATACGTGGCTTTATTATTTGTTCTGCAATAAATTGATAAATGCCATGTATTTTATCAATTGTAATAGATTATTGTTATTTCCGTTATATTAATATTTCAAAAAGTATTACATAAATGTTATATAAGTGTTATCCTATTATAAGCGTTGGGAATATCTTATAATGTTTACCGCTTTTGGGATTGTGATAGCAATTAATATCCAAATAGTTATTTTGCCCAAAAATACAATGACTGCAAATCTAGTATTTAATTAAAATGTGTGTTATTTTAGCACAAAAACTTCTGTTGCTAAATCCCGCGGGTTTTTGGTAAAAATCCATATTTGATTGTGCTTGGTTGTTTGTTTTAGTTTTGGTTAATAGCCATTTGAATAGTGTATCCATGTTTAATTAAATGCTGGTGAAAAGCCATTTTTGGTGTGTTGTCCACGTTGCAAATTTTCTGGTTAATAGCCATTTGAATTGTATAACCATGGTTGATTAAATTCTGTTGTAAAGCACTTTTAGTTGTGTCGACCTGATTGCCTAATTTCTGGCCAAGAGCCATGTTTGTTGTGTCGCTCAGTTTGCATAAGTTCTGGTTAATAGCCATGTGAATTAAGTAGCCATGGTAAATTAGATTTTGCTGCAAAGTCATTGTTTGGTTAATTTTTGCAAAATTATTAACTATTGTGGTTTTTGAATTGTCATTCAAGCGAATATTTTAAACCAATTCTTGATGTAATGCATAAAAAATATATTAATTAATTAAGGTATTTATTTGTTAGACAAATAGTTTACATGCTGAATTGGTTTTTTAAAAACAATTTACTATGATTATTTAGTATATCTCACTTTTTGATTAAATACAATTGTTTGACCATGAACATTCATACGGTGCTTAATCAACCATATAACTGCCACAACAATTATTGCGATTACAACGGCCACAATAATTTTGTCAACATAACTTAGATTATTAAACAGGTTGGCCGCGCCATGACCTAGCTCGTTGCCCAATACTCTGATTAGCCTAAACACGGCCGACGATACCAAGTCGGTCATCGCAACCATGGGGTTTACTTTGTAAATAGGATTCACCATAGTTGCTTTAAAGTATTGATGGCACTGTCTGTCCAGCGCGATGGCCGAACCAAACAGCCCTCGCACCATGTTGGTAAAAGTGAGCGCTTGTTCATTAATCACGTTCACGCACTCTAATGGCGCCGATGCCATCGTGTAGTGCTGTTCAGACATTTCCTCCTGATATAAATACATCCATTGCCACACCCATGAGATTAGAAATAAGCACGTGCCCCAAATTACCAGACTTTTAGTTGTATATATTGCCATTCTAGTAATTTACTATTATATTATATTATTACAGCAATGTTAATTTAATAAATTATAATAATTCACTTGTTATTAGTTATTGAAATAATAAAAGGATTATAACTAAAGCATTGATTCTTAGGTGACTAAAAAAGTGTTTTAGGTACTTAAAAAGTTGCTTAAAAATGGCTGAAAAGGTAATAAAAAGGTGGTAAAAAGTTAAGAAAAAGTTAGTTATGTTGCATTACAATAGTACATTATAAAGGTTAATTACATCAATTTTTTGAATTAAATTATATCACAAAATACTTTTTGAGATTTTAATCTAAATTAGCATAAATGAATGCCAATTAATTTGTAACATTAATATCCACAACCAATTCTTTCA